GATCAGGTTGGTCAAGCAGGACCTGCCTTTCGTGAACCCATATTGTGCGTGTGTATACAGGCAGGCATGTGTATTTGTTATACATATGATTTTAAGTACACATGCTGTTATGTATGCTGGTTTTAAAAGCATTTAATGGATGTAGGAGCATGAATCAAACTGATTTTCAAAATATATATGGTATACTTAATGCTAGCATTCATTTACAACCTACTCAAACACAACCAAAGTTTGACCAATAGACCCCAGCAACACGTAACTGCACTCCAAGGAAGAAACTAAATTTTTTTGCTGCACACTCTTAAAAAAATAAATCAAATGTTATACCCACACACAAACACACATGCATTCATACACACTTCTATAAATCTCTCTATATAATAAACACCTTTTCCTATGTATGTATATACAAAGCATACATTTACACTGACACAGTAGTTATTTGAAAGGGAAAGTTTCACAAAGCTGGAAACAATTATAAATAAAAAACAGTTTGAAGAAAAAATGTCATCAGAGAAATATGAATAATGGCTATGAAGTACTTCACAACATATCCGACACTCCAGAATAAAAGCTGCACTGATTCAAAAACTAACCTGGCTTAGGAAGGGAATTAGAGAGCAACAGTAAATGAGAAATCAAAAAATGGGAAGTGAATGGTAGCAAATATAAATAAGGAGTTGTAGAAAACTGCTGTGGAAAACAAAAGAATACAAGGAGATAGTCACAGACAGCTAAGGTCCTAGGAAGGCAGTATTTTAAAATCTATCAAAACCAGAAAAACTAATTCCCAAACTTTTAATTACTAGAGAGAAATCACAGAATTGTCTATGATAATCAGAAAAGACAAATCCTCTATTCCGTATCAAGGCAAAGCTACAGAAGAAATTCCTATCATCTAATGACACAGTCCTTTTCATTTCAACAGAAGGAGAATGCCAGATGATATGAGGATAAACATTTTTGAATCAGCAGTCCAGATATATTACATTTAAAAGTTTTAAGAGAGGAGGGAACCCATGAGAAATACAGGTTTTGGTTTTAGTAAGTCTTGAGTCCTATGGCTCTCTGGTTCCAGAAAGAACCAAAGTACACAAGATGACTGCCAGCTTTATGAAAAAAGCAGTAAGCAAAAAATACTTGGGAGTTATGATGAGTAATCAGTTGGACCAGGGCTCTACTGTGATGGTGAGGCGACAAGATAAATGCAAATGTTAGACATGGGATGAAAATGCTAAACAGAAAGCTGTATCTGCATGCAGAAGAGAATATAACTACTGAAGGATGCTAGATCCTTGTCCTCATATAAGTAGGTTTGTTTCTGTACTACAGCTAAAACCAAATGCACCAGTACCATCAGAGCCTATGCTGATTTGTGTCTGATGAGGATATAGTCTATAAAATATAAGTGGATATATTTGTGCCAAATATACAGAGAGCCAGGTTTTCTCCTTTGGTCTGTGACACGTAAAATAGTTAACTGAAGACCAATTTAGTGTTATTTTAAACTGTCGTTTATGTAACAGTTAACTAAGAGTCAATTTAATGTTACTTTAAGCTCTCAGTTATGATCCTGCATCTCCTCAACCACAATGCTGAAAGACCAATGAAGGTAACATAATCAAAACAGACTTAAGTTATGTGCATTCTGTAAAAGACAGTACAGATGTTCAGGAAACATTTCAAGTATTTGCAACTCACTAGAGTATTTGCTCAACATGCCAAATATATTTTTCCAAACTTTCCCTCATGTATTAAAAAAGCCCTCTTCATGTATGTCTGGAAAACAGCTCCACTGTTTTTATAAAATAGTATTAACTTTTCACCTGATTTCTTGGATGTTTGCTGTTCTGATGCTTGACTGAATTGTGATTGATTGGATGAAAGCTTGTTTTTGCTGCTACTGGAACATGAGGCTGCCTTTTGGCTTGCCTCCTGAGGCTCTAATCTTACTCTTTTAGTTTGGACTTCTTTTGTTTCCATAAACTGTGAAAGCATGTTGGTCTTTGCATTTATTTCTTCTCCATTTTTTTCAGTGCATTCTGTTCCACTTACTCCAGCAAACACTCCTTCATCTGTTGGTTTAACAAAAGAACTTAAGAGCATTTATGGCATAATATTCAGTAATGTCAGAAATTATAACTGATATTAAAATGAATGTCAAAATCACCACCTAGCATAGGTTAAAAAATGCCTGCCGTAACTCATTCAATTTTTGAAAATACATTAACATAATAAATCCTTTATCCACTATTCACCATATGTTAATGTACTGAGACTGAATCCAAAACAATTCAAAGATTCTTTTGTGAAAATATGACCTTTATTGATTCTTAGGTATTAAAAAAAATAAGGTACTTAAGAATTTAATTCTAATTATTGTCATGACCATTGCTGTCACATTTTCGTAAATACAGTAGGGACTTGGATATAAAACAGCCCACAAAAATACAAAGCAAAAATTACTAACTAGTTAATCTGGCATAGTGGACTGTGCCACAACACATTCCATGTGTCTGCTATTTATTTATGGCAAAATACATCCTCTGGAGACCACCAGCTGCTGTTTTTTAATAAAATATACAGAATGCTTAAAACAACCTCATAAAATAACTATTTTCAAACAAAATATAGCACCTGTTTTCTGTGAGGTTTCTTTATGCATATTTTCCACAATCTGAAATGAATAAGGAGACTTGCTGTCTGGATTACCACCAAAATGCAAATCTGCTTTTGAGTTGGTCTCCTGAAGATCCTCTCTCTTTCGTCTGATTTGAAGTGTGTTCTTTTCATGGAGTTGTAAAGGTATAGGCTTGATCTCTAAACTACTGGCATTTTCAGTTTCAATGTGACATCCTTCAACACTTTCTTCTGCATTAAGCAGGATCCTCCCTCCTTTCTCTGTTTGTGGAGCCTTTTGTTCAGCAGTGCGTAATACACCACGGGTAGAATCATAAGGACTTCCAGAAACCCCTTCTCCATTAATAGGTGCTAAAAGCTCATGTGCTAACAGTGTTTCTGCATTTGCCTGAAGTGTATGTTCAGTGCAGCTGGTCCCAGCTTCAGATATATTAGTAGAAATGTTTTGCACCTCATTTACAATAGCCTGTTGCAATGTGTCCGTGCTGTTTGAATCCGTAAGATTTGCCCATGCTGGTTCTGACTCATCTGTCTGTAAAGAAATCAGTTCAAACAAAGGCAGAGAGTTTTAAACTTAGAGCCCATCCATTAATTTTATTTCCATCAACATCAGATTTAACTTGATTTGTCAAGTTTTGCAAAGAAATAATTTGTTCTGAAGGCATTCTCATGTCAGGATTTAGATTCCTGTCACTCAAACTACTACTGTGACTCTGCTTGAGACTATGTTGATCAGTCATAACTCTTGACTCTCTGTTGTAACTTTAAAACAGATACATTGTGAGAAGAAGTCAAAGCAAGTAAGTATTGACTGAGAATCAAGTTCTGTTAAATCAGTAGTCTGAGAATGCTGTGCAGACACTTTTTCTCCAGAAACCACTGATGTGGGGCAACGCAAACTGGTGATCTCCCCTGTTAAAACAGAAGTTGCTGAGCTTCCACCAGTTCTGCCCTCTTCTTCTCTAAATGGATTTTCACTGCCACCACTGTTGAATTCATGTTCCTGTTGCAATTCTGACTTAGCTCAGTTTTCCTTACAACATTAGCTGGGAGGCAACAGTTACAATTAGAAACAGTAACAGTGTGCCCCATTTCAGCCAGCATCAGGGAAATAAGTTTTCTGTAATTTAACTGTTCCTTGGTTTGTAAGTGGACCTAAACATGAGGCCCATCTAACATGAGACATTATTTCTGAATAGTTTTACTCTTGGCTGTAGCCTCTGCTATAAGAATAGCAGATCTGCCTGTCTTTTTTGAACTTGTATTTTTTTTTCATTCAGTTTTTTGCCTTCAGAATCCTGAAGAACTTTATTTTTTGTATATTTCACCAAATTTGTTTTTCTGCTTTGCTCGTTTTCAGCAAAACTTCCTATGATGCTTTAATATTACCACGTTGAACTGTGCCACCTGCATGTAATTCTATCTACAAAACAGGACATATACTTCATTTCATTTTCTGATAAATTGCTTTATTATATACAAAAAGAAAACTGTGCTATTATAAACTTAACTGATTTCCTCTGCTTGTGCAGCTTTTTAAGACAGCAGGACAACAAAACTAAGGAACTAAGAAATATGTGTATAAAAGTGTAAAAATTAATGGGTGAAATAAATGATAAATATTACTGAAGTGCTGTACACTTTTATTTATTTACGAAAATTGAACTGGTTTTGAACTAATGCTCCACCTTTAAAGAATTAAAACTACATTGCTTCTGTGGTCATATACCAGAGCTACAGTTTCACATTTCTGTCAAACCTGTCTGCAATGACTCTAGGAACTTATAAAGAATGGGAAATAACGCAGCAAAAACATGCAGAATTAACTCATAGCAATCTCACAAACTGCTCCAAAGGCCAATGACTAACTAGAACTATGCTCTTGATTACTTTCTATATGGAGATAGAACAAGAACATAAATACTGCAACGACTCACACAACTACTGAAATCACCAGTTACACAGCCACAGTAATATGTTTTCCCAATTAAATGTTTACAACACTTTATACTTGGAGAATATCCTTCATCAATCAACTAATGTTTTAAAGTGTAATCTAAGACTATACACCATGGATGCTGTTATAGCGTAACATTTCTAAGTACACTGTAGGCTGCGCTACTGTGAGTGACAAGGACAGTTATAATCACATAAAACTTTAGGAAGCAAGAATAAAGTGTCTGTACACACTGCATTATATGTTTCAGATACTACCAGTTATCATTGTTCAAAGGGGAGAAAACGAAAGGGGGAGAGTACAGCTTTTAATGCCAAAAGCTGTTGTGCTATATGCAAACAAACTATGACCCAAGTGACTGACCTTGATGTCTTGTCTTCATGTGAGGCTCCAGCTCCTGCATCTTAATGAGGTCTCACAGCATAACTGTGCAACCCCTGTGCAAGACAGTGGCTCTCCAAACCTTTCCTATCGAAACCCAACACAACCTACTACACAAAGGCAAGGAGCTATCCTACTGCTACAAGCCAGGCAACATCTTGCAGTTTCAGTCAGATTTCTGCAAGTACAAAGAGGCACTGATGTACCATGCTTGTAAAATATCTCTGCAGAACTTGCAAAAACTCAGCAAGAACCACTGTCCGTGAGAGGCAGTGATTGCCTCTGTCTTGCATCTTCATGAGGTTGCAGCTTATCCCAAGTACCAGTAAGGATCAGCAACTGCTTGCCAAAGAACTGGCATTAACACTCAATATCACTGTGTTTCAGTCATTATGTGCTGGTTTTGAGACACATTTCAGAAATAGTCATCTGCTTTAGTTTAGTGAAGACTGCTAGCAAGCTCTTAACAGTTCAGCATCAAATTAACATCACAATTCTTTGTAAAGATGTACCTGGGGCAGGTTTGTATCCTCTGCACTTTGCGTATTTAACATTTTCTTTGAATCATCTCCACCTGAAATGAAAATGAAAGACAGAAAGAAACCAGAATTGAAAAGAGATCGTAATTCTTTACTTCACACATATACCATCTTGTGTCCACAATCTTGTGTGTAACAGTACTTACCACATTTAGCTATCCAGAAAAATTATCAAGCCATAAGCTTTTTATTAGAATCATAGAATCATAGAATGCTTTGGGTTGGAAGGGATCTTTAGAGGTCATCTAGCCCAACCCCCCTGCAGTGAGCAGGGACAGCTTTAACTAGAGCAGGTTGCTCAGAGCCCCGTCCAACCTGACCTTGAATGCTGCCAGGGATGGGGCATCTACCACCACTCTGGGCAACCTGTCCCAGTGCTTGACCACCCTCCTTGTAAAAAATTTCTTTCTAATGTCTATTCTAAATCTATTCTTCTTTAGTTTAAATCCGTTATTCCTTGTCCTGCCACAACAGGCCCTGATAAAAAATTTGTCCCCGTCTTTCTCATAAGGCCCCTTTAAGTACTGAAAGGCTGCAATATGATCCCTAGCACTAAGCCATACCTCAACCATCAGCAAGTCCAGCCATGCCTGATCTTACATTTAGATAGGCAACAACTATTGTGCTTCACATCTTCATTTCAAATTTAAAGGTAGCTCCAGCCCAAGAAAAAGCTGGACATTATTGTCTTTCATACTTTGCCAACGTACAGCAACAGTGCTGGGTAAGGAGCACTTAACCATGACTCAGGCATCAGACAGTGAAGCCCATGGAATTACTAGCAGTAATTAAAGAAATATAGTGCAACAGATGTTCTGAATGTCTCCATTTAGTGGTGATGATATATAAGAATAATTCTCTCCTACCTGATACTGACTCTCTTCTGGATTTTTCTACATAGCTTTTAAGCAGTTTCCTCATAGACGGGTCAGAATCTTCTTCTAATGCACACCTTCCCATCTCATTTTTTAGTAAGGGATCACCTCCATACCAAAGTAATAACTCTGCCACCTACAAAAATAAGTTTTTCAGATTGTTTCTTTTCTGATAGTATTTTCCATACGCCTTTCTTCCACCGGCTTCTCTCTCTTGTACTTGACAATATGAGCAACTAAAACCAAATCTAAGGCCTATAACAAATAATCCCTCTCTATTCTAGTTAATATACTCCATGCATTCCCCTAGATGCATCATTATTGTATAGTCTTCTTATTTTCATTTTCCTAAATTCATTCCAGTTATTAACCTGATGCCATTAAGCCAAGATGTCCCAAAATATAGGGTAGGATTCATCCCTCCACAGCTCTTAATAGGTGGAAAATAACAGGTGATTTGAGGGTATGAGTCAGCTTATCTATTTATGATACCTATTTTAGGAGAAAATAAACTGTGCTCTAGGTGGTCTACTGTGACTCCTGTGACTGCAAAGGGAAGCTCTGACTATTTCAGATGTACAACATACATCTGGTCAAGTGAAACCCACTCGGATAGTCTTACCAACATCATGATTTCTGTACAAATATAAGGCCTGATTCTGTTGTTCTTCAAGAAATTATCACTTTAGCAAAATGTTCCATCTACCTTTGCAGAATACTTTTTTAAGACATGGGAAATTTACAATCTGATGATTTCCTTTCTGTGGGTAACCCTGAAATCTTATTCCAGAACTAATGTGGTTTTACTTGTACCTCTGCCTTTGTCTCTTCAGCATCTGTTATCATTTCAGAGTGAGCTTGACTCACATCCTTCACCCATGCCCTTGAAGTCCCTCATTACTTCTAACCAGATTGCTACTGAGAAAATTGCTAGTGAAGTTTTCTCAATTCATACATTCTCCTAACAACAGAGCAAATAAAAAAGGATTTAATCCACAGCAAAAACACTCTTGGGCTTCATAAGTTGTCCCAAATCTATGAATTTTTTCAACGAATCACAGAATCATGCACTCGTTTAGGTTGGAAAAGACCTTTAAGATCATCCAGTCCAACCACTAACCTAACACTACCAAGTCCACCACTAAACCAATTAAGGGTAGAGTAATAATTTCATGTTTCCTGGCTTGGTGGCTGGATTATTTTTTAATGAAAGTAAAAACTAGGAATCATTAAGCTTGGAAAGGATCTCTAAGATCATCAGTCCAACCATCAACCCAACACCACCATGCCCACTAAACCATGTCCCAAAGTGCCACGTCTACCTGTTTTTTGAACACTTCCAGGGATGGGGACTCCACCACCTCTCTGGGCAGCCTGTTCCAATGCTTGAACACTATTTCCGTAAAGAAA